TGAGTATTATCAGTGTTCAAAACAGGTGTGCTTCTGCTTCATATTTTCGTGGAAACCGTGATATAGTATTTTCAGGATTCTTTAATGAATAAAAACTTAAATCAAACAGATATAGAAATCTTATAATCTTTTTGTAACATTATAAATGCATTTACTCTCACTTTTAAAAAAATTCAATGTGTCCTTGCTGAATAAAAATATTACTTTATTTTTTATCTTTACTGACCGAAGTAATGAAGTTTATTTTTTATTCCTAGTTAAGCCAACACTGCCATTGCTAGACGGGTTGTATCAATTTGCACATGCTTTATATGTTCTTACTTAATTGCATAATAGAATATTTTAATAAGACTCGTGTTAAAAATAATATGTCAAATAATTTATCAACTACAAATTATAAGCAATATCTGACAGCTGGTGGTGCGATAGAACAATTCGTAGTGTAATGTTTGCCACTTCACTTTATTGCCTCTATGAGTCGCCAACGGACAAAAATCCCGACAAATATACGTACGCCAGACATGAAGTTTACTTGGAGGAACGCACATTCTTAAGTTAATTTCACTGTTAGTACATCTGGCCGTGAACGTGAAAGCTGACGTACGCCGTGTTTTTGTGCGTACGCAGTGTTGATACATGAGGCCCCTGCACTTTTGCAATAAAAAAAAAAAAACCTGTATAAATGCATAGATAGCCTATGTACCCTGTAATTTAAAAAAAGCCTATGTATTTGGTACCGTACACAATTATTACGAAAAGGTATGTTCTCGCCAAATTGCACCCAAATGTAAGATTGTTATGTCATAATAGTAGAATTAGTTCTATAAAACTTAAAGTATAAATATATTTTTTTAATCCTCCTGGTTGTTACCCCTTTATTCCCCAAACTTTACATATTGTTTGTTCCCTTATACCTACATGCAAGTAGTTGTACACAATAATTACCGAAAGTTATGCTGTAAATTCGTCTTAATTACGCAGTACTTTCCGGGCTTTTTTTTTCTCTTTGTAGTTTTAGGTACAATATTATCCAATTTAATTCAATGTGATAATCTAAATGTAATCCAAAAGTAGTCTGATAATATATATAAATATATATATATATATATACTCGTTATATATATATATAAACGAGTGTATAAAGATTAATAATCTGTGCTGGTGCTGCTATGCATTATCTTTAAAAATTAAAAATTGATCATTACACAGTGAAGATCCCAAGATAGTTGTTTGCTTTTTAGGTCAACTACGAGCAAGCAGGTTCTTTTACCCTCACCCTGAACTCATTGTGGTTTTTCATGTTTCTTGTAAGTGCATCAGCACAGGTGATGCTTTCATGGAAAGCCACAATGCTGAAGGCTTTGTAATGCTGAGCTCAAATCAGTATTTGCATATGCATAACTCTTACTAATCGCCATTATTCAAATTTTCTCTGCAGCATATTGTGGTTTGTGGTAACAGGTTTGATTTTCCAGTAACCTGTTTTTCTGCCTGCATGTTGACATTTGCGATTTTACCTTTACTTTCACAGACTCGCAAAGCAAACCTTGCTGGACAGATGGCTGAAGCAGCGAGCAACTCTAAAACTGCACTCATCCTGAACCATGTCGGTGTTGTTGTGGGCTTAATCTTCATGATACTATTTATCCTCAACACCTTTTACTTTGAAGGAAAACTTTTACCTTTCTAAAGTTACCCCATGCAATGTTTTCATAATGTTAGATGAATCATTGTGCGAGATGATACATAGACAAAATGTATGAAAATAAATGTCGTTTCATTTTTTTAATTGTTGAAATAAATGCTTCAGAAGTACGAGTTTTTGTATGATAGTTCATTAAAATCTGTCTGACAAGAGATTTTGTGAATAATAAAAAATCCATGAACACCCTAGTGAAAAATAAATTAACCAAAATGTATTTATACATTAAATGTATAAATACATTTATTTTATGCCAATGGGATGTGTTAAAGTTCACCACATGTTTCGGTAGTGACTGTTTCGGTTGTGACAATTTAATATATTTTTGAGCCTAGTTCAAAGATGACAGCCAGCACATGGTTAACTAGTGAATAGTTGTACACATCCTAGGGATGGGGAAATGAAGCCTCATGAAGCAATGAGGCTTTCCCCTGACAGTTCCGGGAAAAGATTCAAAGCTTCGAGTGCGCCATTTGGTGCTTATTTAAAATAAAGCAGCCAGAAGCCTTTGTAAGAAGCTCTGTCAGATGAAGCAACCACAACACACTCCATAGTTTCAATCTTTTGTGTACAAATAAAAGCCTTACACGTTTGTGTTTGATTTGTCCATTAAATAAATTCCTTTACCCATTAAAGTGTGACAATAAAATATAAAATGGGCTTATATGATTCAATAAGACCTAATGTAGGCCTGCTATCTCTCTCTCTCTACACACACACATACACACACACACACACACACACACACACACACATAGTGAATAAGGACATTGTGTGATAGGATCATCTGTTATTAAATGTGCTTATGACACTTGGCAGTGATAGTACTTATGTAACTGTATGACAGAAAGGTGAAAAAGTTTTTAATTATTTTTATTAAGAAATAAAAGCTGTTTCACAGTGTTGGGGCTGAGTCTATTTCTCCTCTTAGATAGTACTTCCCCAGCCGAGAACAATCTTTCACATGGTACAGAGGAGGCCGGGGTTCAAAGAAACTGTAATGCCAATGTATATAGATGGGGCTAGACATGTTTCTGCATTCTCCAGTATATTCAAGTGGATCTTCCGCTCTTTGTATGTTTGTCTCTGTAAGGTATTTATCCACTTTTACGATTGCATCAGAAGTGGCATTTGAGCTTTGTTTGAGCTTTGAGCTTTGAGGTGGAAACCTTTGTCCAACAGAAGACAAAGGTTTCCACCTCAGAAGTGTGAGGAGAAAAAAAAATGATTAGGAGTGAATGTACATGTACATTGACTGAAGACACACCAACAGTCAACAATTATAAAATACAACAATAAAATAAGTACAATTTTAAATAATATAATATAAACAAATAAATAATTTTTTAGAAATGCATACATACATTGGAAGCTATAAGCTCAGATTATTCCAGGGGAAGTCTTCCTTTTTTTGGCTGTTGCCAAACAAACCCTTCACCAAACACCAACATCCTATCCCCTCTCCCCTCTCCCCTCTCCCCTAAGCCCACCCAAACCCCAAATAACAATAATAATATCTAAAAAACACGAAAAGTGCAAAGATTTTATAAAAACAAAAAGACACAAAAACAACAAAAGAATAAGTAGTTTTGGTTATTTAAATGTAACGTATTGATTCAATTTCAAAGTAGAGCACTCTTCTCACAAACCCATCAACCAGACTGAGCCAACAAAGACTTGTTAAGTAAGATCTGGGGTTCGAGCCTTCTGACACCCAAAGCGAAACGCGCATGTGATTGGACAGAAAGTGAGGCTTCATTTGTCATCGATCACGTGACTCTGGGAAACCAATACACACCCCAATACGGGGCTTCAATAGAAATTGCGTCGCATGTGCGATACGCACATCGAAGCTTCAGTGTCATACGTAACATCACTAACACATCCATCCATCCATCTATCTTCTTCCGCTTATCCGGGGCGGGTCGCGGGGGCAGCAGTCTAAGCAGAGATGCCCAGACTCCCTAGACATTTCCTCCAGCTCTTCCGGGGGGACACCGAGGCGTTCCCAGGCCAGCCGGGAGACATAGTCCGGGAGGCATCCGGAACAGATGCCCAAGCCACCTCAGCTGACCCCTCTCGATGTGGAGGAGCAGTGGCTCTATGAGCTCCTCCTGAGTGACTGAGCTTCTCACCCTATCTCTAAGGGATCGGCCAACCACCCTGCGGAGAAAGCTCATTTCAGCCGCCTGTATCCGGGATCTTGTCCTTTCGGTCATGACCCAAAGCTCACAGTCCTATATGTGTAATAATAATAATTCGTTACATATATATATATAGAGCTTTTTCTGGGACCTCAAAGCGCTTCACATATGGAAGGGGGAATCTCCTCAACCACCACCAATGTGCAGCCATATTCCGCCAGAACGCCCACCACACACCAGCTTACTGGTGGAGAGGAGACAGAGTGATGAAGCCAATTAGTATATAGGGATGATTAGGAGGCCATGATAGACAGAGCCCAAGGGGCAAATTTGGCCATGATGCCGGGGTTTTTAATGACCACGGAGAGTCAAGATCTCGGTTTAACGTCTCATCCGAAGGACGGTGCTCTTTGACAGTATAGTGTCCCCATCACTACACTGGGGCGTTAGGACCCACACAGACCACAGGATGAGCGCCCCCTGCTGGCCTCACTAACACCTATTCCAGCAGCAACCTGGTTTTCTCAGGAGGTCTCCCATCCAGGTACTAACCAGGCTCAGCCCTGTTTAGCTTCAGTGGGCAACCAGTCTTGGGCTACAGGGTGTTATGGCTGCTGGCGTATATAAAAACTAAATTTTATGGAATACACCCAAAAAAGTTAGCTTAATTGCAGAAAAAAGGTGTTTGGTAGTGACGTCCCTTAAAGTTACACACAGATTTTCAGACTTTTGAACACATTTCTCTCAAAATAATGGCACCTATCTATAATGAAATAGAAGGTATAGTAAACATCTAAAATTTGAATACTTAAATGCTTTTTAAATTTTTTATGTGTTGTCGGACAGCAGCTTGCACCAATTCTGTAGAATGGCCCATATATATTCCAAAAACCCATTAATCCACAAATAACCTGACCTATCAAGCTGGCACCTAGTCAATACTATGTGAAAACTATGTTTCTGTGTGATGAGGGAACTGAATCTGTCACGCCTCTTGTCACTGCTTGTTACTCCTCCTACAATCCACCTACTGTATCATATGATTGCTGTAAATCTTCATGTGACCATACTGAGCCAAAGTCCGTGGCCGAGAAAAACTTGATTCCTCTTAGCCAGAGTCCACAAAGGTGTGCCTCCTCTCTGTAGAGTAAAGAAAATAAGACAGTGCAAGTTTAGACAGAACAAATGGAGCCCCAGGAAAACTGGAATACATCTGAGAAATCCAAGTTGTTGCAGCCTGGGCCACCACCCTACCAGGACCATTATGGAAACCCTCCTCCAGGGAGCTTTCAGAGCACCTCTGGGTATCAAGGCCAGCCGTACGGCGCTCCAGGACCATACGGGCAAGGGCCATATCCAGGTCATCCTGCTGTCACCGTGCAGCCGGCAGTTTATTTGACCAACACCCCACTGGCCTATCCGCAGCCAGATTACCTGGGCTATTCCATCTTTACCCTGCTGTGCTGCTGCTTTCCTCTGGGCATTGTTGCTCTAATTTACTCTATCAATGTAAGTATTAGTTCACATACCTTTTTTAACCCTTTTTGAACTGATACACTAACCCTGGCTGATCATAAAATGCGATTTTTCACTAATTTTTCCCATTAAATCTTAATTGGCTTTGTTTTGTAAATGGTATTAAATCTCTTACAATATACAAGAAACAGCTGAAAAATCATCTCTTCTTAGAGCACTTAAAGCTGCAGTAGGGAGTTTTGAGAAAACGTTGACTTAGCCTGAAAATTTGAACAAGCACAACTTACAGGTCCCTCCCCCTTGCTCTCTGCTGCGCTACAGCCCTCCCTCCACAGCTCGTCCTCCACAGCGGAGCCTGTCGTGAATGCGCAGGCTAGTAAACAGGGCCACCAATAACAGCGGATAAAAAGTTATATGGCACATTCACTAATAGGGACTAAACGTCAACAATATGCTTTACATTGACTATGGCCTGCCCATACTTTGACTACAAACTTGGTCCTCAAATCATTATGTATTTTGCAACAGCCTACATGTAACTTTATAACGCTGCACTCTTTCTATAAGTTATAAATAGCTAGTAAGATAACGTTAATATAACGGTAACTAACGTTACAGTATGTAAGTAATTATTCTAGTGATATATAATGCTAGATAAGGTGTGCTAGTACATTATTTCAGCAACATGACAAGCCAGTGAATTAGCAGGTTTCAACATTGCTTAGCAGAGTGCGTGACATTTTATCTACATGTTATGCGGCTAGAGTTTTGACACCGAGTCAATGGGCTCTGTGTAATTCTTTCTTTTTCGCTTGTTTATCGTCATCAGTCTTTTTCCTTTTACCTCTATGTTTTATGAGCAGGTGTCACTCGAGAATTGCCAGTTTAGGTTGTTTCTCCGTCATAAGCACATCTGCAGCACGCCGGCAATCTTGAGTTTGAACGACGGCTCGCGCTGTGCAAGAGAGGGTGTGATCAGCGCGTACACGATCGTGATTGACACTGCTAAGACACTCCTCCCGGCTCTGATTGGTTGTTTCTGACCGGGAGCGTGTATTTCTGAAAATGGCAATGGGACCACTAGGAGGAGCCAGAAGAGCTTGATTTTTTCACAGATTATCTGTCTCATATTCTACTGTCAGGACATAATGACAGTTTTAGAAAATACATTTTTTCAAAAGTTACCTTCAGCAGCTTTAACTGCATAAACTTAAAAAAAGTTATTCTATGCTTTTATTATTACTTTGTCTGTGCTCTCACTTCCTGTTCTTGCTTGTATGATTCTGAATGATGTCTGAAACTTTGTATCTTGTGTTTATTGCCTCATTGAATGAGTAAACAATGGTCACATTTTCGGATGAACTACCCCTTTAAAGGCTATGGTCTACAAGAATTTGTTGAAATGAAAGGATGACAAGACTTTGTTAAATTAAAAAAAGAGTCTAAATAACAAGATATACAATGTTTTTTTAAGTGTTCAAAAATCTTTGTCATTCAAATAATTGTGATTACATGACTGGCATTCAAAACAAAAGAAGTTCACTCATGTAGCTTCACCATCTTTGTCTCCATTTACACAAACATATTGTTCCCATAAATGATGTGACATTTTGGTATTGAGAAAGAGGTGTGGTACTACACAAAGTCCCAATTGCACTATTGCTTTGTTCACATCGGGGAAATTTCTCTCTAAATATTGACAATGTAAAGCTACTAAAGTGCCCTTTTGTTGTCCTGCAATAGTTGATTGATAAAGAATGAATTAAAGACACCAAATGAGTTTGAAAAGGAAATGCAATAGATGATGCTTTAAGTCAAGTCAAGTCAAGTCACCTTTATTTATATAGCGCTTTTTACAATACAGATTGTATCAAAGCGCTTCACAGTGATAACATGAAAACAATATAACAAAGTTTGTTTCTAAAAGAAAATTGCGTCAACGTCCACCTTAAGTAAGGCAGATCAATAATATTATTGAATATTAAATGTCCCCAACTAAGCAAGCCAAAAGCCAAGGCAACAGTGGCAAGGAACCAAAACTCCATCAGGTGACAGAATGGAGAAAAAAAAAAGGAATAAATTTAGATAAAGGAAATGAAACCATTACAGGACCCTAAAGTGTATATGAAACTTGCTCTGGGTTTCCATTATTGCCCAAAAAGTCACATTGATTACACAATAGCTGGTGTATCATTGTTCCACATTTTAGTCATGAGCAACCATGTGAAACTGTTAGTATTATAGACACCATCATTGCTTTACTACGATATAAACACTTTAATCACTCTTGTTCAGAGAAAACTCAGAATGGGTAGTTCTGGAAAACACAAGTGACATTATGTTTCACTTTTATTTTCACAGACTAGGAATGCCAACATGTCAGGACAACAACAAATAGCAGAGAAAAACTCTCAAATGGCGCGCACTGTTAACCATATTGCTCTTGGTATTGGCCTTGCCCTCTTTGTGTTGTACATCGTCTACATCATCGTGGTGGTTGTCAACGCCGGTAAACACCAAACAACACCTCCTTAACTGTCAGGCATATCAGCTGGACACCAGGAATGAGGGCTTTCCAAAAATAACATCATATAATGCCGCCTCATAACATTGGGATGTTTTTTAGACTACAAACTAATGTGCAGTTTCATATGATTGACTATGTTTGATCTGTCTGGCTAATATCTAATGTAAAATGATTCATGTAACTAAAACATGCTTTAAAGTTGATTATCTTATGATTCAAAACAATTCAAACTCTCACTGTCAAGTACACATATTGATGTTTGTTTTTCTTCCTGTCTTTTGATTATATTTAATTAAAATGTTCAATGACCAAAAACCAGTGCTCTTTTTCTTTTTTATTACCATTGATGTTGTCACCCAAATACTTTCTATTCAGATACCTGAAAGAATCACTCTTATGAGCCGGTTCTTATTAGTGAATCAAAAACAAATACTGAATTAATTAAACTGATTTACTTGTTATGTCCTATTTGAAATTAACTGAGGACTGTTATTTTTGGAAGCCTAAAAAGATCTAACCCACGATTTTTAGAATTCTAAAGTCACTCATAATATGCAGGCCAAACTGAGCCTTTTAAATTATCTTTTTTTAGGTGAATTTCTTTGCAATAATATGCCACTCCAATCTATTCAGATTCCAGGAGTGACTTACCAGTAGCCTACTTTTATGAGCCGGTTGATGATGAGTGAATCAAGAACATACAACACGACCAGTCCGAATTCGGACCAGTAGGGCTACCGAATGAATTAGGGACCGATACCACTTTTTTCAGAATCGATCCGATACCAAAAATTCTGAGTATCGACCGATATCGATGCCGATCCGATACCAGCACAGTTTTTTTTTTTTAAATCAAGTAGAATTTAAATAACTCTATGTGTGTTGAACTGATAAGCAGAGTTAAACACAATGGGTCTCATTCATAAAACATTCGTAAATATACGAGTAAATATGAGATAGTAATTTGCGCATAAAGAGACCTTCCCGAAAACTCTTCTCCTGATTCACAAATACTTTGTAACCGCCAGATGTGATGGTGAAATGTGTGTTAATGAACTCCAATCAGTCGTAAATGGGACGCGCATGCACGCTCATTCTCAATTACCATAAATCCCACCCATTAAATCCGACTGACAACTATATATTATATATATATATATATATATATATATATATATAGCCCAGCAAACATTTGGACGTGTAATGACCGTTGAAAAGACGTCCGTCTTCTGCTGAACACAAAATAAGATATTTTGAAGAATGTTTGTAACCAAGCAAATAGAGCAACAATTGACTACAATTATTGGAGAAAGATTAATGGGAAGTGACATCTACTTGGTTACAAACATTCTTCCAAACATCTTTGTGTTTAGCATAACATAGAAAGGTCGACAGGTTTGAAACATGAGTTTGAGTAAATGATGACAATTTTCATTTTTGGGTGAACTATCCCTTTAAACACATTGTTTGGCTCATTTTTTGTATCCACCAGCTCTTCCTGGAGCATGTTTCAGGTGTTGCTGCATCAATTTCAGAGTCTGTAGCATTTGGGCTACACTTCTTCACAGCATCTAAGGGAAGATAATATATATATATATATATATTTTAAATAAATAAAATTATAAATTTGAGGTAAATGATATGCACTTATTTTCAAAATATTTTTATGGTCTACAGCTAAATTAAGAAAAAACATGGAACAAGATGAATGAATCATGAATGAAACATTAGAAAAAGGTCATCAACATGCATTACATTTTATTTCATTGTATAAAAGATGTTCTGCTTTTATTTTTAAAGCAGTTACTGAAAACGTATGTTAAAACCCAGCTAAACATTTCATTCCATTTCAGATCATTTACTTTCTGAAAGAAACTCTCAAAAGGCTACATTAATAAGTTACAGTAATAACTTTGACTGTATCATTAAACAATATAGCCTACTTTATATACTATGGTATACCGTTGTATACGTTCAAAGTTACTTTTAGCCAACTGGCTAATTTTAGCCAAACTCAGTAAATTTCAGTTGACTATGTGGGCAATGCATCATTTCTTTCGGTTCATTCATGTCACACAAGTAAAACTCAAGCACGTTAATAATACAAAACGTACTTACCCAACAGTAGATTTTTAATAATATCGACACACAACTCCCTCCTCTCCTCGTGGTTGTTCAAAGTTCCAGAATCTATGGGGAGAACCAGGGGGAGAACGCGTTAACATCTCGCGAGATAATCTATACCATCGCAGGATTTTGTAGTATCGCGAGATCTTTTGTTACTACATCTTGGCAGCACAGTTTATGGTTTGGGCAATGGCCCAGCAAACATTTGGACGCGTAATGACCATTGAAAAGACGTCCGTCCGACACGTCCCGTCATGGTTGAAAAATAGTTCCAAAATGGAAGTTGAACCGACGTCTTTTCTGGCCGTGAATTCCACGTCTCTTCAGCGCGTCCCTGGACGTCTAAATGCGTCGTCATTTGTGTGTTTAAATGTGTTTCTGCATAATTTAAGTGTATATAAGCCTGCATTTAAAATAATCACACACATATTGTGTAACATCGTGAAAGGCAATCAAGTCTTGAGGTTTACACATCTTGACAAAGGTTCTAAAAAGGTCCAAAATTGGTCCAGTCAGACCTGACCGTCAATAAAACGTTTTAACCACGTGTACATCACAAACAAGAACACATTATTTGTGGACATAAGAAAAAAAAGAAGCATGTTCTGATTTAGCAAATTTTATTGATCTTGAACAGCCAAAATGTCTCTTAATATTTTTTCAATGTTTAACATTTGTTAACCAAACTAAAATACCAATTACAAAATACTGAATTATTATATAAAGGGATAGTTCACCCAAAAATGAAAATTCTTTCATTTACTCACCCTCATGTTCCAAACCTGTATGAGTTTCTTTCTTCTGCTGAACACAAAAGAAGATATTTTGAAGAATGTTTGTAACCAAGCAAATAGAGCAACCATTGACTACCATTATTGGAGAAAGATTAATGGGAAGCGACATCTTGGTTACAAACATCTTTGTGTTTAGCATAATATACAAAGGTATACAGGTTTGAAACATAGACTGTAAAAAAAGATGGACGACGCCCCTTCGCTCTTTTCCATTGGAGAGAACTGAAGCCGCCAGGCCAGAGTCCCGATATGGCGCTGACATATTGGAACTTGAGTCTGCGCAGTAGCCTTTTCGGGACCAGTCATGCGCAGTCGCGAGCAGGAAGTAAAGCCGCGAAATCAAGGCCCCGCCCTCGCGCTCGTTGAATCAATCGCAAGCACACGCCCTGCACTTTTCTTAAGTGGCCTTGTCTGCTCCGTTCCTCTCCAATGATGTCTGCTGATTGCAGTACCTCGTTAAAATAAGGTAAATACAACTACTAACCACATAGTCAACATTATGAAAAAAAGTCCGTTGGTGCTTCAGTTACTACTTCGCACAGAGAACCTGTCAATCACAGCTGTCAATCATGATGTCACAGCACAGTTTTTATAGCATCAAATAACTAACTAAAAACTAACTTATTTTAAAAACAAACACAACGTGAATGTAAAATGTAAAAAATTACATCAACGTGATAGAAACAACAGTAAATGACAGAAACTATCTTTAGAAAAAAGATATGTGAAGTATAATTTAATTATTTTTGTTGGTCTCACGTCCCGTTGAATAACATGGGGAGGCGGGGCTTATGAGCTATACTAGGACCGGTCACCGGGGGGCGATCGAGACGTTTTGGCTTCACTTTTGAGGGCTTGTGCGGCACGCTTGGTTTGAAACATGAGGTTGAGTAAATGATGACAATTTTCATTTTTGGGTGAACTATCCCTTTAAACACATTCTTTGGCTCAGTTTTTGTATCCACCAGCTGTTCCTGGAGCGTGTTTCAGGTGTTCTGCCATTGCTGCATCAATTTCAGAGTCTGTAGCATTTGGGCTCCACCTCTTCACAGCATCTAAGGGAAGAGAATATATATATATGGGGCTGGTAAGGGTTAGCTACCCTTGTCGGCAGTATCCAGCTCCGTGTTTACAGGATGCTGGAGACACCCGCCCAAGGCTTCTGAGAAATTAAAGAGAAAAATACCCCTAGAGTCTGCGAGAGCGGGGGCGGAAGATGACTCAATGTTGGACAACATGGTTAACGACTTAGGAATGGAAACGGATATGAGTATGGAGAGTAAGACTAGTTCAAGATCTGCAGTAAGTAAAGTCATTGAACTCCAAATTTGTGTCTGTGGCTGGAGCAAGGCGACAACGGTCAGGGGTTTGAAGGTTCATCAAGGGAAAATGAAATGCTTGAGGGAGAAGGGACAAGGGCCTCGCATTGATAAGTACTTCTTACGAAGTCAGTCAAGTCAGTCGAATGAAATCCAGTGACAGGAAGCAAACCACAGCTCGCAGGATATCAGCACCCCTGTCATTGACGAAAGGAGGGCTTGCACAGTTAGTGATGAACATATTCATACTTGTGAACCCGGTCAGGCTAACCAGCATAAGAGAGAAAAGAACCTCAACGGGCATAGGCCTGGAGTTAGATGGCCAAGAGCTTGTGAGAAAACTGCATGGGACACGGTAAACACAGATCTATGCTTTGCATTGGAAAGATTAACTGGTACAGTTGAAAAGAAACTGGATAAATTTGGGGACATCATTTACGCATATGGAAGTGAGAGGTTTGGTGTGGAAAAAAGGAAGGAAAAAGTACAAACTACTCCTGGAATGTCTAGACGGCAGCAGAAAATTGAAGGGTTAGTTAGAGAAAGGAGACAGCTGAGGAAGCAATGGAAAAGAGCAGAACAAAGTCAGAAGGAGGGACTCAATCTCTTACAAAGGGCCATAAAAGATAAGCTGGCAACATTACGCAGAGCTGAGCGCCTACGGAAACGCTACAAAAAGAAGGAACGTGCGAGGGCTAATTTCTATAAAGACCCATTCAAATTCGTAAAGAAGTTATTCACCAGTGAGAAGAATGGCACTTTAAAAACATCTAGGATTGAGCTAGAGAGATTTTTGGAGGACACGCATACAGATGCAAAAAGGCATG